CAGGTTCTGTGATGACAGTGCAGACGCCGTGTTCAATCTCAAGAACAGTGAGCCAAAATCAAGAGTCAGACCTTTAACAGACTGAGCCATCCAGGTGCCCCTTGGAAAACTCTGTTTAAATCAGACATCCTCAACCCTTTCTGGTAAGCAGCTAGCTTTGAGTTTGTCAAGTTTACCAATAATCATGGATTATTCAATCCGGATCCTTGGCTCAAATTCTTTCATTTTTTTTTGGTGTGGCAACCGTGGTCTAGAGAGGTAGGAGGACTTGGCTAAAGTAATGGCACTACTGCTTGTTTATATAGTAGTTTATTCATGCATCGAAGAAGGCTTACACATCTACTATGTGTTGGGCCCTGTGTTAAGCATGGGGAATACCATCATGAGCAAGACAGAAAGGATCCCTTAAGGAGTTTGCAGTCTGGTCAGAGAGAGAGATGCTAAGAAAATAAATGTTACAGATGTTAATTCATTTCATGAATTAAATAGTCAGGTGGGCTGGGGGGAGAGACCTTATCTTGGGTAGAGTCTTCAGGAAGGTCCCTGGACAGTAATGTTTTAGGTACTGGGAAAGGAAGGGGTGTGTTGTGAGTGCACTGCTGATAGAGGGAAGAATGGGGGTTATAGTAAAGAAGTGAAGACACCTGCAGGCCTTTCTTGATTCTCCAACAGGAATCCTCGTCAATTTTCCTGTGGGTCCCAGGGGACTGTCAGCGTTGGCCTGTTGGATCTTGAATGTGCAGTGGGGTTTCTTACTAGAGGCCATTCTAAATTATTGAGAGGCTCCCCGTCCTCTCTCTTTTCATCTATTGTAGTAGAAGTGATATAAAGATTAGACCAGGAGATATGTTTCTGTAAAATACATATTCTACCACATCCTGGGATGGAGAAGGGAGAAGTTCACCATGCCCACATGCTCGCTGAGTTACAACGGTAGAGGTAAATTACTCACCCCTGAGTATAACATACATACAAGCAAAACCCACCCAGCCCAGTCCCTGATTGCTCCTCCTCAGCTAGAAATAGCCTTTCCTTCCCCGTGGCTCCAGGTCTCTGTAATGGTACTTTGGGTTATCTAGTTTTTATGCGCACATCCATCCTCTGTAACGTCTTGTAAGTTTCTTGAGGGTAAGAGGGTATTGGATTCATCATCCTAGCAAAGCCAGCACCTGGCATATTGCCATGCCCACAACTCCTCAGTGAATATTTGTTGAATGAATCATATAGAAGGACTTAAAGCAAGCTTCAGGAAGAGGAGTTAGAAAGGCGGCTTTTCGGCTTTTGCACAGTGATCGGAATTGGGAGCCCATACTGATTACCCTTGTTACCAATAGCCAAAAATGGCTATCCCAGGACCCCTGCTTAATTCCCGTGATGAAGCCATTGGCCTGGTGACAAGAATATCACTGAGGACAAAGAAGCAAACATTGAGCTGTTTAACAGAACCCTCCGCAGGGCCATTGTTGCATCATTCCGCTGAGATGTGAAGTAATGTCTGAGCGCTCAGTTCCCAGCGCTGGGCCGCCTCGGTCTCTGCTCCCACTTCAGACAGTGACTAGACCCTACATCCTGTCTCCTGACCTTGGCTCTGCCGGCTCCAGACCAGTCCCCTACCAGAGGCAACTTGGCAGCCAACTCCTGTCAGGAAGTGCTCGCGGCCCCACGAGGCTCTCACAAGTACAGGTCAACCCCGTGTCTGCCACAGAAACTTTGGGGGAAGGATCATCACCCTCAGTGCAGTCCTATCCCCTAATGCTGCTCCAGCCCCACTCCCGAGCAAAGGACCAGAACTGCAGAAGGAAATTCAAAACTCTGTTGTTCTAGGGCTATCAACTCAGAAAACCACTAAAAATCCCAAGTTGGTTCCTGTTCATGCCAAAGCAAAGGACTCACTCTGAAATAACGGTGGGGGGGTGGTGTTTCAAAAGAAAATGGAGTTTGGGGGTAGGACCCAGAGGCAGTCTGTCCGTGCCTGGGGGGTGCTGGGCTAGGGCCCTCCTCCTATATTACCACTCCAACAATGGTACCGCTTCACTCCTATGAGAAAGATTCTTTAACTTTTTTAAATGCTTATTTATTATTGAGAGACAGAGAGAGACAGAGCATGAGCATGGGAGGGTCAGAGAGAGGGAGAGACAGGGAATCCGAAGCAGGCTCCAGGCTGTGAGCTGTCAGCACAGAGCCCGACGCGGGGCTCCAACTCACAAACCTTGAGATCATGACCTGAGCTGAAGTTGGATGCTTAACTGACTGAGCCACCCGGGTGCCCCGAGAAAGATTCATTTTTACTGGCAAGGGGAGGGCTCAGTTTGAGCTGACAATGTGGGGTTGTCGGAGGTCAGAGGTGGGAGATGAAATTAAAGATAAGAAAAAGTCAGATGATAAAAATTGCTGCAATTAATGTCAGCAATGTGCTATTGGCACTCGGTCTGTGGTAATCACTCAGCCAATGGCGGGGAAACTGGGCCAGAGTTAACCGGGCACCTGCACCAGAGGCACTAAGAGGTGTTTATCATTTAGAGGATTCCTGTGCTCTTGGTGAAGACTTCAGGAATGACACACTTCCCTCCTAGTTTGATTATTCTTGAAGACACTGTATGCCTGGGTTTACTTTGGTTTTAACAGCTTGTAATTAACGTTAGATGAAGAAAGAAAAATCCATTTGTTTTAATTTTTACTACTTTGTTTGGCCTTTACCCTTACCTGAAACATAAGCTGAAAAGAAGAAGAAAAAGGGAAAATAAGCCCAGGTAAGAAGGCCCAGCACCCAAGACTAGCACTGAGGGCAGAACCCTTACAGTTGAAAAGAACATGCTACAGGTAATTGCGTAGGGGGCTGGAATCACCAAGAGACCAATTAACATCTTATTTTGGGGATTACCCCTTGCAGTATTTGCAGATAGTTTCTTACTCAGCAGTGTTTAGCGTCCACGCTCTAGGAGCAACCTAAGTGTTGATAAAAGAGCTTCCAGAACAAATAAAGCATCGTACAGTAAACTCTGGCCGAGGTGTGGAGGGCTGCAGTCTTTGGGTTAAAGCTTGGCACTACATTTATTGCTGGAGGAATCCAAGCCTCACAAAAGGCAGCTTTGCAAGGAAAAACCTTTTTTTTTTTTTTTTAGAACTCGTTAACAGTCTATTTGTTCTCCGAAGGCTGTTTGGTTAGGGCCCATGGTGCCACCATCCGAACGGTTCCTCCAGGGACCCGCACCTCCTAGGATTTGTAGCTTGTGCGTGACAATTGGCTTTGGGCTGACTCCATGAGATTTTAACTTGGGAATCGAGTCATTGTTGTTTTTAGTTGCCGCCCGTTTTTACTTTAAACTGCCTTGCACAACTGCCAAGGTACTTTCCAATGGAAAGGAGTTTGACTGCATTTTCTTCACTCAGGGTTTGCTGTATCCTTTTGGGAAACTGCTCACCGGAGGTCACTGTGGCCAGGAGGGTGGAGATCGGAGTCTGAGGAGCAGTTTGGTGACATCCAGAGCCTACTTCTTTGCAGCCCTAATGCGAGTGAAACAAACCTCACGCAGAAGCCGTCCTGGGCATTTCCCAACATTCCACGTTCCCACTGCTATCTCCCAGGGAAATAGGCTAACTCTTCTTTGAAAGAATGCACAACGATGAAATTAATTACAGATTCACACTCCAGAGACACAAAACTCATAGAGCAGAGGTAGAATCTCAGTGTGTGTCCATTTTCTTTGCAATCACAGCCTGTTGCTGTGCCCAGTGTTGCCTAATTGGACATCAAATCAGTAAATGTAAATAGCACTTTTGATCTGTAAAGCTTTTACACAAAGTTTTTTATTTTAATAAGACATTTTATTCCAAAACAATTTTTTTTTAAACTCAGTGCCAAAGATCATTAGAGTTGGCAGGGATTAATACAATCTTATATCATAGATGAGGAAACTGAGTCCCAGAGAGGAAAAAGAATTCTCCCTCTCCCCTTGCCCAAAGTCTTAAAGGTAGTTACTAGCAGAGCTGGGAGAGGACCAGGTCTTTTGATTTCTAGACTAGGATTTAACTCATTAATTAGAATTGTCAGAGTTCCAACTTAGATCTCTCCCGGAATGCGGGACACATTTTTTATGTTTGGTGTTGATTCCCTCAGGGCTGCCTGACTAGTTTAAACTTTTATCAGCCAACATTTCAGAAATTACAGTCTTTCTAACACTTATGCAAGACTTATCTCTTAAACAATGCAGAGTCCTAGACTTTCCCAACTTCCAGAATCAGAATCTGAGAACTGTATCTGCAATCTGGATTTTAATGAGCTTCCTTAAAAAGAGTCTTAGGCATTTGAGAACCATTTTACCTGGCCCCAAATCAAGTTAATATACTCATGGGTTTAATATGCTAATTTAAACTAAAAAGTCAGCAAGTGGGACTATACCAAACTTATCACAGGAAACAAAATGAAACAGGAATTGACAGGATGGGAGAATATTGTCTCAAACCATGTATTGGATAAGGGGTGAATACCCCCAAGTTTACAAAGAATTCATATGACTCAAAAACAATGATGAAATAGCTCAAGCAACCTGATTAAAAATGGGTAGAGGGACTTAAGTAGACATTTTTTCCAAAGAAGACTTCCAAATGGCCAACAGGTCCATGCAAAGGTGCTCAACATCATTAAAACATCAGGGAAGTGCAATCAAAACCACGATGAGAAATCCCATCACGTCTGTAAGAATGTTCTCCATGTAGAAGAAGAGACATAAGTGTTGGTGGGGATGTGGAGAAAAGGGAGCCCTTGTGCATGTTGGTGGGATTATGAAATTGTTCATCTATTCCGGAGAATGATATGAAGATTCTTCAAAAAATCAAAAATAAAACTTCCATACAATCTGCCAATCTCACTTTTGGGTATATACCCAAAAGAGATGAAAACAGTTTATTGAAGGGATGGATATATACATTCCTGTGTTTATTGCAGGATCACCCGAAATAGCCAAGATAAGGAAACAACCTAAGTGTCAATGGATGAATAGATAAAGGAAACGGATGGATAAAGACAAATGAGAAAAAAGGAAATTCTGCTACTAGCGACAACATGATAGACCCTTCAGGACATTTTGCTAAGTGAGGTCAGTCAGAGAAAGCTAAATACTATAGGTTATCTCTTGTAATATGTGGAATCTAAAAAAAAAAAAAAAAAAATTCACAGCACAGTGATTATAGACCATAAAACTGTAGTTTAAACATTAAACTTACTAAGACACTAGATCTTAATTGTTCCCACCGCTGGAAGATACTTGTGTGACACAATAGAGGTGTGAGCTAAGGCTCCAATGGCGATCCTACTTCAAGGTGAATGTATCAAACCAATATGTTGTACACTTTAAGCTTACGCAATGTTGTATGTCAAAGATGATTCAGTTGAAAAAATATAAACTGCTTAATGTTTCTGAAATCAGGTGGCACCTTCCAATCAATGATTAATGTAGACAAAAAAGTTTTTAAATGAATGGGGTCATAATTAATAGCAACTTTGAACTGAGGACAAAGTTTTTCTCTTAAATCCTTTAGTTACTGAAGAAGCAAACATTTAAATTTTTATATAAATTGAATTTCACAGCATGTGATTCTTTTCAGTGCTTAAATTCTTCTTTAGTAGGAAGCAAGAAATGATGCAAAAATTTGTTTTCTCAGGCCCTGGGCAGTCATCGGTGAACTGCTTCTCCACAACTCAAGTTCTGACCTGCGGAATGTGTTCGAGTTCATTCGACAGAAGACTCTGATTTTACTTTCTGTGATTACATTCAATTCTGTGACTTATATTTATAATTTATAATATATACTTATTATATATATTTTATGTGTTTCCTGCAAAATTTCTAACAAAGTCTTGAGTTACTCAAAATCTTCTTCCTGAAAGATTCGAGGAATTTAACATTTCCTACCCCATGTTTCACAGTATCTCTGCCTAGATTTTTAGACTTTTATTTATTTTATTTTTTAGATTGAGCAGGAGAGAGAGAGAGAGAGAGAGAGCATAAGCACAAGCGGAGGAGGGGCAGAAGGATGAGGTTAGAGAGAGAGAGAGAGAGACAGAGAGACAGAGATGGAGACAGATACAGAGAGACAGAGAGAGAGAGGATCTTAAGAGGAGCCCAATTTGGTGTTTTGATCTCATGACTCTGGGATCATGACCTGAGCCAAAATCTACAGCTGGACCCTCAACCCACTGAGTCACCCAGGCACCCCTAGATTTATTTATTTTTTTAGAATACAAATTAGTTATTTAAAGTCAGCAGCAAATTATATTTGTCAAAATATTTTATCCATTTTGGGGGGCTTAGCATGTGAGTGGTAACACACTTAATCTTTTTGTCTGAAAAAGATTTATTTGACGCTGTTTCAAATAACGTAGATAGAGAATTCTTGGTTAATAGTTGTTTTTTGTCAAGGCTGTGAAAAGATTGCTGTCTTCTGGCATCCGTTCTGCATGAGAATTAGTTTACCTGTCATTTCTTTGCAGGTCATCTGCCTTTTCTTGCCGTAGGATTTTGGTTTTTATGATTTTATTTTTTTAAAGTAATCTCTACACCCAAGTTGGGGCTCAAACTCACAACCCGAGCTGCATGCTCCTACAACTGAGCCAGCCAGGTGTTCTCTCCTGCAGCTTTTAAGATTTTCTCTTATCTTCAGGGCGCCTGGGTGGCTCAGTCGGTTACGTGGCTGACTTCCGCTCAGATCATGATCTCATGGTTCATGAGTTGGAGCCCCTTATCCAGAGCCTGGAACCTGCTTCAGATTCCATCTCTCCCTCCCTATCTGCCCCTCCCCAGCTTGCACTCAGTCTTTTTCTTTCTCTCTCTGATAAATAAATAAATATTAAAATAAAGATTTTTCTCTTATATTCAAGTTTAGCAATGTCACTATAAAATGTTAAATTTTTGGTTAAATTCACTGTTCTGTATTTTGTTTGGCATCTGATGTTTCCTTTCACACAAGTAAAAGGTTTCATATATTATTTTCTTCTGAGAACACATGTCATTTCCTTTGTTATCAAAAGTTCTCAGCCAGTGTCTCTTTGACTACTGATTCACAGATATTTTCCTCTATTCTATTCTTGAAATCTTGTTAGACATATATGAGAACCTCTGATTATGTCTCTTCTCTGTCTTTTAGCTGCTATATCAGCCCGCTGCTTAATTCTTTATGTTGCATTCTGGGTAAATTCCTCAATATCATCTTCCACTTCACCAGTTGTCTCTACTGTCATTTCCAAGATAGAATTAATCCTGTCTATGGCACTTTTAATTAAAGTACTGTGCTTTTCATTACCAGGATTTCCCATCTGATCTTTTTCATATACACCTGTTTTGTTATAGTTTACTGACTATTTTAATGGATATTCTTTCTTTTTCTCTCAGAGGATTCTAAAAATCCTTATTTTAAATGAACTGTCGGGGGCGACTGGGTGGCTCAGTCAGTTAAGCCTCCAATGCTGGATTTCAGCTCAGGTCATGATCTCACAGTCTGTCAGTTTGAGCCCCACATGAGGCTCTATGCTGACAGTGTGGGAGCCTGCTTGGGATTCTCTCTCTCTGCCCCTCCTCCACTCACTTGGCACAAGCTGTAAGTAAATAAAAAATAAACAAATGAACTTTCAGATTCTATTATTCTCATATAATGTGGAATGAAAGTCTCTCAGTGTTGAGTCTGTTGGCTCCCTTTCTTGAGGGTTAGTTTTCTTAAGTGTGCTAGAATGTTAATGTTCATGACATACATCTGGAGGGGTATCACGCAGACTTTCTCTTATTTTCTTTTGCCATTGCTTTCTCTTCTCCCTGTTTACTCTTTCCTGTCCCACAGCTTTCCAGTTGCTTCCCGTTAGGACTAGGGCCCCCGTCCACACCCTCGTCTGGTGTTGGTGGCATATGGACTCCTTTCTTATGATGATACTGGGACATTTCAGATTGAGTCAATGGCAGTTTGGCCCATGTCCTGGACACAAGGTCTTGCTTGCTTATTCCTGCTTTTCTAGATTCACATTCATCTAAGCCCTCACTTCAGTTGCATCTTTTTTTCTGGCAGGAACTCCCCACCCCATTCAAATTCAAGCAATAAGCTTGGAACCCAGGCTCCATCCATCCAAGGCAGTACTTTATCCCCAGTATTTTTTTTTTTTTGAGGTAGAGAGAGAGAGAGAGGGAAAGAGAGCGAGAGAGAGCATGCACAAGTGAGTAAGGGGCAGAGAGAGAGAGAATACGGGGGTGGGGTGGGGTGGGAGACACAGAGAGAGAGAGAGAAGCAGGGCTCACCCAATGCAGGGTTTATGTTTTACCCAAAGTGGGGCTTGCCAGATGTGGGTCTCAAACTCACAAACTGTGAGATCATAACCTGAGCCAAAGTCAGATGCTTAAGGACAGAGCCACTCAGGCACCCACTTTATCTATAGTATTATGGAGGAGAGCTAATGTATCTCAGCTTACCTTGAGAGCCTACCAAGCTCAAAGCTTTAGGAACTTAATGTGTTAGATTTCTGTTCAATTACTGTGCACAAATACTTATTTCTTCTATATGTATCCATGTGCACATGCTATAATCCCCCCGCAACTCTGTCTTTTTTTTATGTCTATTTATTTATTTTGGGGGAGAGAGGGTAGGGAAGGGGTAGAGAGAGAAGAAGAGAAAGAGAATCCCAAGCAGACTCCATGCTGTCAGCAAAGAGCCTGATGTGGGACTCGACCTCACAAACTGTGAGATCATGACTTGAGTCCAAATCAAGAGTTGGATGCTGAAACGACTGAGCAGCCTAGGCGCACCCCCCCTAACTATCTTTTAAATTTACTCTTTTTTTAAAAATTTAGTTTTGAATGTTTATTTTTGAGAGACAGAGCATGAGCAGGGTAGGAGCAGAGAGCAAGGGGGACACAGAATCCGAAACAGGCTCCAGGCTCTGAGCTGTGAGTGCAGAGCCTGAAGTGGGGCTTAAACCCATGCATCATGAGATCATGACCTGAGCCAAAGTCAGCGCTTAAATGACTAAGCCACCCAGGCACCCAGTTCCTTCATTTCTAAAATGGGATATTAATAACATCTACTTAATAAATGGTTATAAGTGTTGAATAAATTCATATTTGTGAAGTGTATAGAGTCGTAACCAGCATATGATATTTACAGAAGATTTCAGTAATTGAGGCAAGTGATGTGATGACGGTTGGTGTCTCTAAGGACTTGGCTGATTCGGATGTGGGAGGTAAGGGAGAGGTATGTGTCCTACTGTCAGATGTGGGGGCCAGGGGAGGGCACTCGTCAGGGTTTTCCAGAGAAACGGTATCAGTGGAAGATATATTATGAGGAATGGCTCACAGATTTTGAAGGCCGAGAGGTCCCATGATCTCCATCTGCAGGCTGGAGATCCAGGAAAGCTGGTGGTGTGATTTAGTTTGAGTCTGAAGCCCCGAGAACCAGGGAGGTCAGTAGTATAAATCCCAGCTCTAGGGCTGGAGAAAATGAAATGACATGTTCCATCTCAATCATCAGGACAGGCAGAAAAGGGTACAGATTCTTCCTTCTTCTGCCTTTTGTTCTATTTAGGCCCACGACAGATTGGATGGTGCTCACTGTTTTGTCTGTTTGGACTGTAATGACAACATATCACAGACCTGGTGGCCTATAACAGGAAATTTATCTTTCACCGTTCTGGAGACCTTCTGGTCTTACTTCTGGTAAGTGCTCTCTCCTTCGTTTCATCGACTTCTTGCCTTGTCCTCATATAGTGGAAAAGGGCAAGAGAGTGGGTCCTCTTCTATAAGGGCACTAATCACCTCCCCCAAATCTCACCTTCTAATACCGTCAGCTTGAGGACTAGGATCTCAACATAGGAATTTTGGTGGGGGGACACAAACATTCAGACCACAATACCCACCCATACTGGGAGGGCAGTTGACTTTACTGAATCCATAGATTCAAATACTAATACTAATCTTATCTGGAAACATCCTCACAGACACTCTCAGAAATAACATTTAACCTGGGTGGGCATCCTGTGATTATTCAAGCTGACACATAAAATTAACCATTACAATGGAGCTACCCTGGAGATACGGAGTATAGAGGAAGTGGGAGGGGTATATGTGTGGTAGTTAGAGAGCTCAGTTACAGTTTTAAGTGCTCACATTGGAGCAGAAAATTCTCTCCTGAGGCAGCACCAGGGAGGGGACATCCATTTGCCAGCCATGGTGTTGACTAACCTGGTCCAAGGTGGAAATTTCAGCTAGGCAGGTCTGGTTGGAGGTCTGAAAGCAGGGCATGGGGCCCACTGGAGAGAGAGGTGGGTGTGGTGAATGGGGTGAGTTGGTGAGAGTTCCTCAAAGTTCAGGTGTAAGAAGCTTGACCTCCTGCCAGTGTAATGCACTTTTCTAGGATTCCTCTTCTTTACCCCTCTGGTACCCCCAGGACTGGTCTGTCTTATTCTCTTTCCCTTGCCCGTACCTGTTGGCAACCAAGGTTTCTATCACGCAGTGACTTGCTGAGAGGTTCCCGTGATGGTGAAGAGAATGGTTTTGGTTTAAGACTGGACTGGGGTCTACACAAAAAGGGTTTGGCTTCATGGGGAACAAATGCAGGGCCAGGAAGTAGAACTTAGAAGTCATCCAGTTACTAATGGATCAGTTGGTGCCAACTTGGTCTAAGGAACCAGACTGCATGCCCATATTTTGTCTACCTCTGTGGAGCTCACACCCTGAGATTTCTTTACAGTCTGGCAACATAGTTTCTGTGCTGCAAGTTTCTGACTTTTACACAAACAGACATTCTAGAAGTAAGGGGAAAGATTACAATTCCAAGGACTGTCTGTGGAACATAAAGAGCAACTCTCCTTTTCTTTTTCATTTTCTTGGAAGTAGAAAGCTATTACTGTCTCTATAACCAAAATGCTCAGGGGGGCTTATCCCTGGACATTACCATGAAATGCTGTGATCCCAGGAGAATTTTCATGTCAGCTTTGACTTCTGGATCTAGGAAGAACATGAGGTGGTTGTAGACAGGAAAGGGCAGACCCCAGAGATAGATATTAAAATAGGAAAATCTGGTCTTCAGAGTGGGATGTGTTTTCTTGAAACTTAATTCTCTTCTGACTCCCTGTCACAGAATTAACATGCTTTTCATCTTAAATCAAGTTTATTTATCATTTATACCTTTCCTTAGATTAAGAGCTTCTTAAAAACATGAACTTGGTTTTATTCATTTTTCTCCTTTTTAGAGCCTAGTCCAGAGAGTGGTGTTCAATAAAACCTCAACCAGTGTTTGTGAATTAGATATGAATAATTTTCAGAAACTCATCTATTCTTCATGATTTCTTCCCTGTCCCTCCCTTTCTGGAAGCCCCTCACCCATTCAAACTTAATAACAGAGTAAGAGAGGGAGAGCATAATTGAGGATTCTAATAGACCTAACACCATTGTATTCCTTACCTACCTCTGATCCGTCCTCAGAAAAGGTCAGGAAAGCCTCTGAAACTCATGGACATTGAGGATCTGATAACTGATAGTGGCGTACATGCTAATAAGCAAATCCTTTTGTTGATAGTACAGGGCTCTAACAATATTTCTTTCTTTTCTGGTTCACCCCAAATTCTCTTTCTCTCCAATCTCCTCTGCATCTCTTCCTAGTCACCTAGACATCAAGAGATTGAATAATTTCTAGCCAATTTGGTTATTAGTAAACTCCCCTGTTTTAAAAAAATATTTCAATGTTTGTTTACTTCTGAAAGAGAGAAAGAGCACGTGCAAGAGAGGGACAGAAAAAGAGGGAAACAGAGAATCCTAAGGCGGCTCTGTGGTGACAGCAGAGAGCCTGAAGCAGGGCTTGAATGTATGAATTGTGAGATTGTGACCTGAGCCAAAGTTAGATGCTGAGCCACCCAGGTGCCCCACCATTAAAAAAAAAATGTTTATTTATTTTGAGAAAGGGAGAGAGAGAGAGAGTGCAAGTGAGGGTGGGGCAGAGAGAGAGGAGAGAGAATCCTAAACAAGCTGTGCACTGTTAGCACTGAGCTCAATGTGGGGCTTGAACTCACAAAATCATGATATCTTGACCTCAGCCAATATCAAGAGTTGGGCATTTAACCCTCTGAGCTACCCAGGCACCCCACTAACTCTCCTTTAAGAGTTATTTTAAGGGAGAAGCAATGGTCTGTATCTATATGAAGAAATCCAAGCAGATGGCAAATTGTCTAAAAGAATTCCACTTTTAAATGAAAGGAAGCAGTTAATCTCCCAAGGGCCAGAAAAGAGGAGCCCTGAAGGAAGGCATGTGGGTCTACATACCTGTGTGCAGGCCCAGCCCATGTGTGGCTGTCCTGTGGTCTCAGCATTGGTAACTGTGCACTGTGTTTGATGCTCATCTTTCAAAACATTTTTGGTTTTTTGTATGGGTTTTCTTTTCATTTCTAATTTCTCCTTAGATTCTTAGTAAAATTCTTTTGAAAAGTGTACCATGCATTGGCTGAACCAAAAGAGGAAGAAGAGAGTTTTGTGTACATTTAGACTGCAAAACAAGACTCAGAGTAAGAGTTTGCTCTATTCTATGGCAGTGACTCTTAATTTTGGGGAGGTGCCAGACTCCTTGGAGAATCTTAGTGAATACTTTGGACTCTTCATAGAATAATGCACATACACACAACAGATTGCATTCCATTTCAGAGAGTTTGAAGGGTCTTTAGATCCCAGGTTAAAAATCTCTGCCTTGGCAGTGGGGCCATGTTGGGGGGTGGTCAGGGGAAGTGGCAAGCTCAGGGAGAAAGCCTCTGATGTTTGGCATCTTCGTCACGACCAATCTGAATCAATTCCTTTGTGAACTCATTTTCACACTATTCACTATTTTGTTTCTTGGATTATCTTATTTCACCAAGTCATTATGATTAATAGCTTTCATTTATCGAATATATGTTAGCACAGGATCTCACGTAATTGTGCCAACAACCTTAGGAGGCAACTGTATTATTTTCATTTTATAGGTAAGGAACCTGAGATTTAGAGAGGTTTAGGTACTTGCCCTAAGCAATTTGCTCAAAGAAAATAATCCAAATTACCTTCACTTTTTTGGTGTGCTTTGTTATATTTGAGTTTGCGATTTCTTGACACATCTCAGTTATCCAGAATGCTACGCTGTCTCGTGGTTTACCAGGGGTCGTTAAGACCATGTACCGCTGTGTGCATTTCTGTGAGCCTCATGTTCTTTTGGGGCAGACTATTTTCTGAATTTCCAGCTGTCACTTTTGTCCTGCATTCTTGGCAAACCTGTAGGGCATATAGGGAATATTTTTCTGAAATGAAACACGAAGAGTTAAGTGATCTCATCGGGTGCAAAGAGCATAGTGTTGGTTTCTTCAGAGGACATCCAATCCCTTCCTTCATGTCAACCGTTGTTAACTGAGCACTTAGAACATGCCCTGCACCTCTCTCTCTCTCAGAAATAAGCCATTAAAAATTTTTTTTAAAAAGATGGTTTAACCCATGCTATGGCGGTAGGTTCAATTATATTACTCTGTGAAGCATTACTTTTTCCTTTAGCTGAAAGGACTATTCTTCTAAATCGATTTCACTTCTTTTTGACTCTCTATGATCTTGTATATGTAGAAAAACTGCCAATGTTTTGGCTTATTAGCTGTTAAGTGAATGATGCTTTAGACATTTTGGAAAGGAAATTGTTTCTTTGAATAATTATTTTTTTCCTGTTTCATATAGGTGAGAGGACAGAAAAATCCCTGGGGTACAGGGCGGGAGAACACAGGATAAGCTGGGTTAGTATTCCCAGATATACCTCTCCTCACTGAGAAGGGCCATTAGTTTTTCCATCTGTCCCATTATGCTGCCATCTTATCGAGTGCTATATCTCTATGTAGCCTGGCCATTTCAACAGTCAGCACCGTGGCTTTTACTGCCTTTTGTGTGTGCTATTATAGTATCGTCCTAAGTTTTCACTGACTGTAAATAAATGGATGGAATGGCAAATAAATAGGAAGTCAATGCTTAGAACTGCGCCTGACCCATAATACTTGTTGACTAAATACTGGGCAGGAGAATAAAAGGGAAAGACAGAATGTTGAGGGAAACAAGACTTTAAAAGGATGTACAGTATAGATCAAGTACCTTAGAAAGCACATGCTTGAATCATGAACTTTAGAGCTGAAAGAGATTGTAAATCATTGGAGCAGAAATTTGATTTACCCAAATTTGATGTACACGCAACATCTTGGGATCATGATAATTATAAACAATGGTTTGCATGAAACTATTTGAAATGAAAACCGGTTTCCGTATTATAAGACTTGAAATATTGCTCATTTAAATAATCATTTGCTTCCTAGTGCCTCCATTCTCAGCTCTGTGTATATAGTTCATATAGATTCTGTTCAACTGCTCATTCTGCTTAGTCTATTGAGCATGGTCCTGCTAAACCTAGGGAAGATGTTCTTCTGACACAGCTCCTGAAGTTTTTGTTTTAAAAAAACTTTCATTAAGACTTAATTTTGGGCGGCACTTGGGTGTCTCAGTCAGTTAAACATCTGACTCTCGATTTGGGCTCAGGTGATGATCTCACAGTTCCTGAGATTGAGCCCCGCCATCGAGCACTGCACTGACAGTGCATAGCCGGCTTGGGATTCTCTGTCTCCTTCTCCCTGCCCATC